ACGAGAAGAAGCCCTATCAAACACATAAAGCTCTTTCTCTCGCTCATCTCCGCCGCCGGCAGAAATATATACCATATCGTTAGGGTTTCACGGCGGAGAATCTTAGTCCTTCACCGGAGTAGCTTCATCATAACTAGAGATTATTTCAATGGCAACCAGTAAGTACAATTTTCCTTTTCCTATCTTCACGTTTACATTGAAATTTACGCTCGTTCAATTTTTTCGCATCTGTGTTCTGAGTTTCTTGTATTGTATCCTTTGTTTCTGCAGTGGCTAGGTCGTTTTTGCAGGCGATATCGAAGGATGAAGCGGTTGCTCCTCCGCTTAGAGTTGTTCAGATCGAAGGACTGGTAACGTTCTCAAACTCTTCTCTGGTTTTGAGTTTCTCCTTGTTTTATGCTTACCTTGGAGCTTGCTATGGTGTGATTAGTCAATTGGAATTTTCCATTTTCATTGGAAGGTACTGTAGTAGTGATGGTGCGAATTTTGTATGTTTTTATGTTGATAGGCTGTGCTAAAGATCATCAAACATTGCAAGGAGTTTGCACCGACCCTTGTCACAGGACAGCTTCTTGGACTTGATGTTGGTAGTGTACTTGAAGTTACCAATTGTTTTCCTTTCCCAGTAAGTTTTTTGAAGAATTTTTCACGCTTTGTAAGAATGTTAGAGCTTGTTTTGTCTGATTGATGTACGTGTGATTTACTGCAATGTGTATCTTCAATGAGTACAGGTCAGAGATGACGATGAAGAAATTGAAGCTGATGGTGCCAATTATCAGCTTGAAATGATGAGATGTCTTAGGGAGGTTAATGTCGACAACAACACTGTTGGGTGGTAGGTTTTCATGTCATCATTCTGATTTCACTTGTTAAGTATTCTTTTGTGAATGTGTGTAACATCTGCTTAAATTCTTTTGTGAAGGTATCAATCCACAGTTCTTGGTTCCTATCAGACCGTAGAACTGATCGAGACCTTCATGAATTACCAGGTACTTTTCCAGGATTATGTCCACCATGTTTATGACACTCTATATCCTGGTTTTGATCTTTCCATATGCTTTCCTCTTCATTCTACTCGCTTCATTTTTTACGGAGGAATGCTTTAGTTTGCATTTATTTCTTTCGGATACCAGAATTCAGAGTTGTAGACATTTCTATGTATAACATGGTTACTCTAGTATATGATAATTATATTGGCATCTGTTCTGGACATCTCGTAGAAAAGTTGATTGTAAACTGGACATGACAATGTTGGTTGAGACTTTTTCTGCAAACCGGTTCAAATCCTTTGCAAAATCAATAAGTGTAACTTTAAGATATTATTTATTTTGCATCAACAGGAGAATATCAAGAGGTGTGTCTGCATCATATATGATCCCTCTAAAGCTGACCTTGGAGTCTTAGCTTTGAAGGCTTTGAAGCTTTCAGATTCCTTTATGGAGTTGTACCGAGGCGGAAACTTTACAGGCGAGAAGTATGTATTCTTGTCTATTAAAAATCTGGATTTTCTGAGCCATATTGGATAGTTATAATGTTCTAATCACTATCTCTGTCAGATTGAGAGAGAAGAATTTCTCCTGGATGGATATTTTTGAGGAAATACCAGTAAGTCTCTCTTTTCAATGTTGAAGTCTTAATTGGCAATCTTTTAAGTAACTATGGTGGAACTATTACCTAATTATAGTTTCCTCTGAAAAAACGTTTTAGTTTAAACGTGATTACTTTATTTTGACAGATCAAGGTTTCAAACTCTGCGCTTGTCAGTGCCTTTATGACCGAACTGGAGACTGATACACCTGTCTCACAGGTACTGTATTGGTATATGGATTGGATTGTTGCTTGCTGCCAGTACTCCGTATTTTGACTCTTAATTTTCTTTGGCGGTTCTCTTTTCTAGGGTGATTATGATCGTCTACACTCATCAACCACTCCTTTCCTTGAAAACAATATGGAGTTTTTGATTAAGTGCATGGATGATTTATCCATGGAACAGCAAAAGGTTCTTATTCTGCACTCTTGTTCAATTCTCACCCTAAGAAGTATCTATTCTTAATTAGATATCTTCTTTTATTGTTCCAGTTTCAATATTACTACCGGAACCTGTCTCGTCAGCAAGCACAACAGCAAGCCTGGCTCCAGAAGAGAAGGTAGGTCACATGATTGGTTCTGAGTAAATTTGTTTCACACTTTTTATTGATCTTGGAAATTGGTATATTTAGTCCCATGAGTTTATATGGCAAGAGTAGTGAAGTCCTATAACATCTCTCTTCAGCTTTTGCTTCTCTTGTTAATATTCCAAGTAATTGACTAAGAGGTTTGGGTTATAGGACGGAGAACATGGCTCGTAAAGCCACTGGAGAAGAGCCTTTGCCCGAGGAGGATCCGTCAAACCCAATCTTTAAGCCCATCCCTGAACCATCAAGGCTAGAGAGCTTCCTCATCACAAACCAAGTCTCAAACTTCTGTGGCCAAATCAATGGGTATGTTCTTGTTATTAACTATTAATTACAGTTTTCACAATCTCGAGCTTCGAAAGAGATTTACAATGAGTCGACCCGTTGCTATGCAGAGTGGCTGGCCAGAACTTCAGCAGGCTCTACCTGACCAAGGCATTGCACGAGAACTGATTACAAGACTACCCAAGTATTTGTTTTTGAGTCGAGAAAGCGAGAGATTTGGTAGTAGAACAGAGCCCTATATTTGGTTTTCCCTGGAGGTTGTTAATTTTTTTTTTTTTTGTTGTGAAATAACTTGAAATACAAACTATCTTAAAACATGTTTATGTTATTGAAATCTCGAAAATCAGAGCACTGATTTATACATTTTTTGTATTTTTTACTAATTCATCACCAACAATATTGGTGTTACTTCCACTGTATATTAAATATATTAAAAAGAACTTAAAGAAAAGACAGCAAGAGGCGCATTAAGCGACATCGTTTTCTTCTTCCTCAAAAGTGTCTCTTACTAACAAGAACAATGGCGGTTTATCA